AAAATCCTGTATGGGGAAGGGATCATCATAGCCAACACATTAAAAGGGAGGAATCTGAAGGGGTATGGGGACAATTATTTCAGTAAGAGGAGAGTTTTGTGTAAGTTTGCACTGTAAAATTATCATTAGTCTGTTGTGCATTCGCTTACAATCCAGACACTTCTTCTGATTCTGTCTTTATTTTTCAAAAGCTCATGAAGTTGTTGTTTTCTAATTGCCAAAATGTTTCTCAGAGCATCGAGGGCCTTGGCCAATTCCCCGCAGTGGCATTGATGTGCTTCTTTTTGCTCTTGTATTTCCTTCTTCAGTGACTCAAACTCTCTTCCTCTCTTTTTTGCATTCTGCAGTTGAAGACTCAAGTGCTTCAGTGTGTCGCTACTGCTCTCCACTATACTCTTGGCCATCTCCAAACGTTTCACGTTTCGCTCTATTGTTGCCTGCTTGGCTTTACTTTTCGATGCCATATGTTCTTCCAGAAATCTTCTATGGCTTCTTTTGTTTCCTTTTGCTCTTTGAGCATTTTTGCAGCCTTGTACAGCCTCCACTGTTCGTGTAATGCTTGGTCTAGTTCCTCCCCCTTTAACATGTCATATGCTGGATCTTCACATAACTCCTTGGCTTTTTCATTCCACCATGTCTTCCTTTCTTTTTCATTGTCTGACGATCTTGCTATGTCTTGTTCGGAAAAGATGTGCACTCCTTTTCTAACTGCCGCAGAAGCATAGCGAGCTGTTGGTGAATTTTTCGCACCAAATACTTTAGTAAGCGTTGATTGTATGGCTCGCTTACCACGTGATGCTGCTCTTTTGGCTGTGGTCTCGCTTTCGTCGATATCTGCGGCCTTTTGCTCTAAACTGCTCATTTCACCCATGTTTTCTCTAATTACTAATTTCTCGTCCTGAAGGGCTTCATTCAAGGTGATCTAGCCTCCTGCACTCTGCTTATTGGTGGCCCCCATGAAGAAATGAAATGGTAATCTTCTGGCACCAGCTCACTGACCTCTTCCTGAATTTGTTTTCTTATTTCGTTGAGTGTAGCATCCATGTCAAGTACTAAAATAACAACCAAACTGGCAGCACTCTCCAATTCGACTTTAATTGGCTTCATTTTCACCAGATTTACTCAGTTGTATCTCTTCGAGCAGATAGTTGGATGGATTAATAACCGTACAGCTTTCGGCCACCGCTCTACGACAAATGATTTGTCACTGCAATAGTAGTTGCGTAAGACCAGATCAACATAACTTCCGCTGGTAGCAATTGTAAATGTGTTTTTCATCAATTTACCCACACATCACTTCACCCCATGTGTGACAAGCTCAAACAGTGGCTAAGGAGTGTTCTCTAGGCATGTTACAAAACTCATATTTTTTACCGCACTCTCCGATGGATAACACCCATGATATTATAAAAGCTGGTACTCACTTTCTTGGCCTAGGCATTCCCCACTAAGAATAAACCTCTGGTACCTAGGGTAACGATTCACTCAAAACACCTCATTTTTATTGTACTTTATTTTATTCTCTATCATCAACAAAAGCAGACAACATTTTTGTGAAAGTAAATCTTAACTCAGCTTTGAGTATATTCTTAGCCTATTTAATATTATAATTTTTTTTCAAAACAGACAACTGTCCCCCGAGTACCTAAGGGCTTTCTGTGTGTGTGTAAACGTGAACAAGCTAAATGTTGTGGCACACAGGCGGGTACTTCCGGTGATAAATGGTGTAAATATTACAACCCATTCAGTTTTAAAGTTGTGGGGTCTTGCGTATATTTTGAATTTAAAAATCACCCGGATATATAAAACAGATTAATAAACAATAACTGCCACATTTATTCAGTAAACAATGTGACTGTTCACAAGTGTACAGTTTAAATCTCAAGTTGACATATGCACTTTTCTGATTTAACAGCATACTCCAAACATTAAGCAAAGTGGATAAATATGCACATGTATCTTGCAACAATCAATGTCAAATCAATGTTGTAAACAAGTCTCTCTAGAGTTGTATTTTTAAGTCAATATTTGATGTGGAATTGAAACTTGACTACTACTGAGTTTAACTCTCCTCTATCTCACGGATCTTCTTCTTCTGTTCTTCCACCCAGTCATTAAAATTAAATTCTTCACTGTCATCTTCCATAGTTACATATTCCAAGGAGCATTCCCCAGCCTCTGCCGCTTTTCCGGCATTCCTGCTTTCATTTGGAATGTTATGATCACAATCTTCCAGTATACCTTTGTTGAAATGTTTGTCTCCAAATGAGTTGAACTGATTTTGCAATTTTTCAATTTTGCTTTTGACCATTATCTGTTCCGTATTGTTTACTTCACAGGCGCTTCTTTCCCCTTTTTGATTTTTGATGTCCGGTTTGGACTTCTTGGAATCTCTTCGATCATAAATGTCCTCTTCAGGATCGCTATCAAAAGTACTAGTAGGCTCACAGTGCTTGCGGCGAACACTTATGGGTCTTCTGTTGGGCAGTTGTTTCATGCTCAAAAAGCTTTTAGTTGATCTGTTCATACTTCAGGAGTTTTGTTTCTGTTAAATCACAATTCCACTTTTGATACACCAAGATAAACTTGTACGCGATCGACGCTCGTAGCAGGGGTCAGCGTTTTTATCAGAATTTCTTCACCACTCTTCTTTAACCTTTTGAGGCCTCCCACTTTGTGGCCCATGATTATGAGCGGGAATTGGGTTTTAATTTTTGGTCTTTTTGATCCCTAAGTCTCAGTGAAATTGGTCAAGAAATCTGTTTAGTCTGAAAACTGTTATTGATTGATGAGCAAGCTGCTGAGAACTAATAGAAACATTCAGAACAATTCCCCCCTCCTGGTGGGAATGTAGCAAACATCTTAACGCCTGGATCCCGCCGTGAACATTAAAAGAACCCTGCCGTAATCCATTCCTAAATTGTTAAAGAACATGGATCAACTACCTGACAAACTCCTTCTTTGAATCTTTTCATTTATAACTTTTACGCAGAGGATAATTTTGCAGGTCGTGTCAAGGAGGTGGAGTCGTCTTATTTTTGATAATTTGTTACTTCGCACAATCTCCATCAGATGAGCCATTTGTGAAGATGAAAAGCTACAAACTTTATTCATGGCATCAAGGAGACTGACTGAAGTTAACTTGTTTTCTTGCCACTTTCTTAATGGATCATGCATCTTAAATGCTGGACTGACCAGGTTAAGAATAATGAATTTAACAGACACTGCTGTAACAGACTTGACTTTGGCAAAAATTCTTTAGGAAATGAAAGAGTTAACAGAGCTCCATCTGGCAGGAACCCGCATAAGCGATAAATCCCTTCCTCACATCATTGCTTTACCTAAACTCAAATACATCTCTGTGCCTCGTGAAAATGCCCATGGGTTTGGTAGAAGTTCAGCATTAACAATTCTGGGAAATTGTGCCACATTAAGAACACTGGACTGTCAAGAAGGATATTTTTTTTTTTGGAGGAATTACACTGGATTCTGGAGAGCAACCCACTACTGACTGGCTTACTCATCCCATATGCCTTCCTACTCTAATGTTTATCGTGGAATCCCTCACAAAACTAGCCTACATTTGCGTTTGTGAGACAGAGGTGACACAAGATTGTGTGAGGATGTTAAAGTCCAGGAAACCTAGTTTGGAGATTTGTTATAATGTAAACCACACCCCATGAAAACTAGATCACAAAAAACTGAATAACAATATCGCATGTATTAATTTAAATCAAATTTATAATGCCATGTTTTTTTAACATTGTTTGTATGTATTTTGTTTCTGTTCTGGTCACATGCAGAGTATGGCACAATACAACCGTTTATATGTTATTATCGTATTTCCGGGGTTACAGCCACAATTTCTTGGTACGATATCACTTGACTTTTCCAATATCAACGAAACGTGATCAATAGCCGTAGTCGAAGCATCTTTTTGTCAGACAGCTTTATTTCTGAAACATAAAAAAATTAATACATTTTAGCGCTTATGTTATTTTCTTAATATGTAGCCTTATATCGCAAGCCAAAGGGAACATGGCAGCTACCTTTTTGAAAGCTGTATCATTTTGTAAGCTTAGCCGGTTCTTGTCTCTATCATATGGTAATAAAATGACGAATAAAGTATGTTTTCATTTAATCGAGTTAAATTTAATTTGTGTTTACATGTTGCCACACTCCCTGAGGTTATTTGACATACAAGGCGTGAAAAAACATCGCACTGAGTTCTATATTAAAACACTGTCAACTAGGTTGGGCCACTCAGTGTGGACTGATTAGTTGTTGTCTTCAAAAGATACCATCTTTGTGGAAATGCCTTCCATTAACATTACATTGGAAAGCAGAGTGAGTCTAGCATTTATTGTGTTAGAACACATCAATTCCATGCTAACAGACATACGTAAAAAGATACGAGAAGAGGTCGATGAGCTTATTCCACAAGAATTTTGCTTCATTTCTATATGGGGGCCACCAATAAGCGAAGTGCAGGAGGCCAAGATGAGCATAAGAGATGCCCTTCATGACTGAAAAAAGCTGGTTATTTGCAGTTATGACAAAAAGCAGAATCGGAAGAGAAAGGCCAGCGAATTTGTGGAAGGCAATAAGGCGAACAAATGTGGAGCAACATCAACAAAAACAAGTCAAGATATTAAGCATTTACGTGAAAGCAGATTAATACCAGATGCTAAAAAAACAGTGCAAAAAACGTTGAGCAAAATTTTACTATTCCTTCAAGTGCTAAAACCTTCAACATCTCAGAAAAATCTGCTGTCTCATTAAGTGAAAAAGGCAGTGATCATGAGCAGAAAACTGAGCAAAACCAAACTGTTAAAAAGGGGGGTAGCCCTTGTT